GAATGGGGATTTTGCAGTATCCTTTCCCTGCCACGCCCACCAAGCCACACCATGCCCACCAAGCCACGGCCACAGAACCAGTAGTAAAAAAAATTGGATTTCACCACTGGTTAAAACTAGCTGGAGAAATAAAACTGTCTGTAGTAAGTTTTCCAAAATATCACCAGCTGCTACATGGCCATTTTTATTAGGCATTGCAATACAGGTAGTCCTCGATTTACGACCACAATTGAGCTCAGAATTCATGTTGCTAAGTGAAACATTTGTTAAGCATGTTTTGCCCCGTTTTACGACCTTTCTGGCCACAGTTCTTAAGTGAACCACTGCAGCTATTAATTTGGTAACAAGGTTGTTAAGTGAATCTGGTTTCCTCATTGACTTTGCTTGTCAGAAACTTGCAAAAGGAGATCCCAGGGGACACAGCAATGGCCATAAATATGAACCAGTTGCCAAGCATCTGAATTTTTATCATGGGACTATAGGGACACTGCAATGTTGTAAGTGTGAAAAACGGCCATAAGTCCCTTTTTTCAGCACCGTTGTAACTTTGAATGGTCACTAAATGAACTCTTGTAAATTGAGGACTACCTGTATACATACAAATATGTATTACATCACGGGTTCACCACGTCATGTTGCCATCACGTGATGTATCGTGGTGTTTTTTCCCTTCATGGAGCTGGAGTGGGCGTAGCCTGCACCTGACACATCCGAGCTGCCAGTTTGACACCACTGGATTAGACTATTTGATTTTATACTCTTTTGTTTGCAATGGCCAAGAGGCCCAGGACATCAGTACGCCCGCCTCTGATTCTTGTTACCCATTTAGCATCACTCAGGGAGCACGTGTAGCTTAAGGGATGCTACGGACATGAGCAACTTTCGCTGCCCCACGACTGGCTAAGACTGCCCATGACATGCGTCCTCAGGTTCATAAAATGATGTTTATGGATTAAAACAGCATCTCAAATGTGATGCAGAAGACCACCATGGAGCCCAAAGTTTCTATTGCTAAGTACCACCGTTGTTAAAGAATCGTGCCCCATTTTACGACCTTTGTTAAGCAAATCACTGAAGGTGTTAAATGAATAGAATAGAATAGAATAGAATAGAATAGAATAGAATAGAATAGAATAGAATAGAATAGAATAGAATTCTTTATTGGCCAAGTGTGATTGGACACACAAGGAATTTGTCTCCGGTGCATAAGCTCTCACTGTACATAAAATATATAAGTGATAAATCATGATCATAGTCATCATAAATACATTCATCATGAATCATAAGATACAACACTTAGTGATAGTCATTGGATAATAATAATAATAATAATAATAATAATAATAATAATAATAATATTGCCTATTGAAAGCAAAAATTCAACATGTTACCACCAACAGCAAATGCCGCCTCTGCAATGAGAAAGATGAGACAGTCGACCACCTGATCAGTGGCTGCAGCAAAATTTCACAACTGACTACCTACAACGCCATGACCGTGTTGCTAAAATCATTCACTGGAAATTGTGCCAGAAGTTTGGATTTGAGTACAGCAAAAACCACTGGGAACATCAAGTTGAGAAAGTTTTAGAGAATGAGAAACTCAAGATCTTGTGGGACTTTAGGATTCAGACTGACAGGCACTTGGTCCACAACACACCTGACATAACAATAGTTGAAAAGAAAAAAGTATGGTTCATTGACATTGCAATACCTGGTGATGCACGAATTGAAGATAAGCAGCAAGAAAAAATCACAAAGTACCGGGACTTACAAATTGAAGTTGAGCGACTGTGGAAAAAGAAATCGTGTGTTGTCCCGATTGTAATTGGAGCCCTTGGAGCAATACCCAAAGGGCTACCCCGCTATTTAGAAATCCTAAATTTGCCGGACTTGAACATTTTGACTCTACAAAAAACCACCTTACTCGGAACAGCTTACATCCTCCGACGATACCTTAACAGTTCCTAGGTCCTTGGTTAGGACTTGAGCTGCTGAGCTATTAACCAGCCTCAAAGGCTGTGAATCTCACTAAAGATTAACCAATAAATAATGTTATTTCTATACCGCCCTTCTCCCGAAGGACTCAGGGTGGTGTACAGCCAATTTAAAAACACAGGACACAACAATAATTAAAAATTAAAATAATTAAATAGATTTGGCCCCCAAACCCCAAAAATTTTAAATACCCCAATTTAAAATTATTATGTTGATAGCCCTGCCTGGCGGAACAACAGGGTCTTCAGTGCGCAGCGAAACACCCGGAGGTCGGAGATCTTACGTATTTCCGGGGGCAGTTCATTCCACAGGGCTGGGGCTCCCACAGAGAAGGCCCTCCCCCTGGGTGTCGCCAGCCGACATAACTTGGCTGATGGCACCCTGAGGAGACCCTCTCTGTGGGAACGGACTGGTCGGTGGGAGGCTATTGGTGGCAGAAGACGGTCTCGAAGGTACCCGGGTCCTATGCCATGGAGCGCTTTGAAGGTGGTAACCAATACTAAACAAGCAATCCAAATCATACTCGGAAACTAAGTGAAACAATGTAAGTTGTAAAGATACAAACAACAAGGCTATAATCATAAGTAGAAAAGGAGATGAGAAGGATGAGAAGAATAATAGTAATACAGTCTTAGTAAATATTTTGACTGTGTTGTGGGAATTAGTTGCTTAACAGAGTGATGGTTGTTAAGCGAATCTGGCTCCCCCCCCTCCCGAATTTGTTTGTCAGAAATTCCCTAAGGTCACAAACAATCCCAGGACCCGAGAGAGACTGAAACCATCGTAACCATGCACCCAAAGTTTGAATCCATGAAGTGGGACTAGAACTCACAGTCTCCCAATTTCTAGGCTAGCACCTTAACCACCACATCAGATTGGCTCTGTTTTACATTTTATCAAACAATGTTCCAGCGATCAGGAATCATTTCACTGAATGAAAACCATCCACAAGCTTGAAGAGTTGTGAAAACAGTATATTTATACACTACTGGAAAAATGCTTGAGTGTCCAACTTTAACATCTGGCTTAATGAAATTTGTAAACCCTCAGATTTTGAATTTGGCTTATACTGGAGAAGAAGCGATGGAGGAATGAAGAAGTTCTTGGGAAAAAAGGTAAGAAATATAAAGCAGAATCACAGCAGATGGCACCAGCTAGTCAACTTTGGCTGATGTTAGAAGAAACAAGCAAAGCTCAGACCTGCCTAATGTTTGTATTGAAATTCACCCAGTTTAGCTTGTAAAGTCAAAATAACATTTTGTTTGATTTCCAAGAAAACCACATGTGGAATCCAGGAGTCAATCTGAACTTCAAGAAGGCTTTATCTTTAAAATACAATACATAAATAAGGCTGTCCATAAATGTAGCTACCTAATTGTTGAAAAACTGTAGCCAGATTTGGGGGCTCTGCTGCAGAATTTTGGACAGCTGGAAAACTAGCATCTTCTTTCCTGCTATTTTACACAGCTCTAGTAAAAATCCCCATGTAGGAATAACCATGATAGGTTCACGAGCCAGCAAAGCTGTGATTGACGTGTTGCTGCAATTATATATATATATAATTGAGGGCTGAAGTGAAAAAAAATCACGAAATATTGTGACCTGGCCATCGAAATTGCATGGTTATGGATGAAACATGTAACAGTGATACCCATTGTCATCAGGACACTTGGTACCATGTCCAAGAATTTTACAAAACACATCAAGAAATTGCAGCTTCCTGCAATAATACCAGCAGAACTACAAAAAACTGTACTACTTGGAACATCGTATATTTTAAGAAGATACTTGATTGATACCTAGGATGCTGGCAATAACCCATATCAACCATTAGCACCAGTCAGTGGTATTTGTGACATACATTTTTAAATGTTCAGTTGACTGAGTTTCATGTTTAATGGAGATAATAACAACAACAACAACAACAATATACAATTTATTGACATCGTGGTACCAAGAGATGCCAGAGTCGAAGAAAAAGAACTGGAAAAAATCATGAAATATCGCGACCTGGCCATCGAAACTACACAGCTATGGATGAAAAATGTAACAGTGATACCCATTGTCATTGGGGCACTTGGTACCATGTCCAAGAATTTTATAAGATACATCAACAAATTGCAGCTTCCTGCAATAACACCAGCGGAACTGCAAAAAACTGCGCTACTTGGAACATCGTACATCTTAAGAAGGTATTTGGCTGATACCTAGGATGCTGGCAGCAACCCGTATCAACCATTAGCACCAGTCAGTGGTATTTGTGACGCATTTTTGAATGTTCAGTTGACTGAGTTTCATGTTTAATGAATATGAGAGATAATAATGAAGGAGGAGGAGGAGGAGGAGGAGGAGGAGGAGGAGGAGGAGAAGAAGAAGAAGAAGAAGAAGAAGAAGAAGAAGAAGAAGAAGAAGAAGAAGAAGAAGAAGAAGAAGAAAAATTATTTCAGGGACAGAGGCGAGCCAGGCCCTCTAACCCAGGAGAAAACTCGAAGGATCTTTTAGCCTGGATAAAAAAAAAAAAAGATGCCCCCTGTAAATATTGATGTATATAAAGAATGGACCACTGCACCTAACTGAAAAAAAAAAGTGATATTAATTTTTTATTTTTTTATTTGTTTTATTTATTTATTTTTATTATTATTCTATAAATGTTGTATGTCTATGTTTGGTTTTTAATGTGTTTAAAATAAAAAAACTTTTTTTAAAAAAAATAAATAAAAAAAGATGCCCCCCTTTTTAATTCCAACGTTATTCTCGTTCTGCGAATTGGCCCGCAATAAAATGCGCAAAAACAAGGCACGACGTCAAGGCTGATTCGAAATACGGCCGGGCTGCCGGTCGCTGACCGGGACGTCCCCGTCAGCTTCCCCCTTCGGCCTGCCTGGTGGGCAGGAGCCAAAAGGAGCGAGCCCGAAGGCGGGCGCCGGCTTAAGAGAACAAGAGCGGGCGCAGCGGCAGTGGCCCCGCCCTTTCCCCCTCCTCCGGTGCGGCCCTTTCGTGCGAGCATCCCGGAGCCGGAGTGGCAGTGAGCTCGTCGCAAGCTCGTCATGGAAAGCGTGCGCTCCGCTTCGGTGCTGGAAAACGGCCACCCGGCCGCTCCGCCGGCAGCAGCAGCAGCAGCAGCGGCGGCGGCGGCGGAGGTTTCCCCCCCGTGCTCCTCCTGCGCCTCCAACCTCTGGATCCGCCTGAGGGAGAAACTCTGTACGTGGTGAGTAGCCGAAAGGCGCAAAGGCGCTTCGCAAAGAACCGGAGAAGGGGAACCCGCTGCAGCTGCGCGGGGGAAGGGAGGGGGGGGGGCTTTGAACCCCGAGGCTTTGAAGCCCCCCCTCCCCTCCCTGAGGCGATGGACACCCCCCGCCTTCTCCTCCTTTCTCCCCATCAGCCGCCTTCGGGTTATAGCCCGGTTCTTTCAAGCGGAGGGCGAAGACGTCTTTTTTTGCGCAGCCGGCGAGGTTTCCAGCCTGGCGTTTCCGAGTCTCTCACACACGTGTTTCGTCTGCACGCCGGTTTACTGCCGCCGTGAACTTCAGAATGGCAGCTTGGTTCGCGCTCCGGGTTACATTTAAAAAAAAAAGAAGAAGAAGAAGAAGAAGCTAAACTTTTTTAGTTTTTAATGGTTATTAATTGTTTAGTTTTAATTTGTTAATGGGTTTTAATTCGCACTGTTTTAATTCGGGCCAAAGTATATAATTCTTTTAATTAATTTTAAATTTTGTATTGTTATGTATTTTAGTTTTGGCTGTGCACCGCCCTGAGTCCACTAGGAGAAGGGCGGTATATAAATTGAATAAATAATAATAATAATAATAATAATAATAATAATAATAATAATAATAATAATAATAATAATAATAATAATAATAAACTGGAAAAGGAAACCGGGAAAGAGAGGAAGGTGTAACAGTAACAGAGCTGGAAGGGACCTTGGAGGTTATCTAGTCCAACCCGCCTAACCTATACTAGGGATTCGAACCGTCAAATTGGCCGGTCTTTCTGATCGACGAGCTCAGCGTCTTAGCCGCGGAGTTCACGGGCTTTGGATGGGTTTTAAGTCCCCGGAAGGGAGAAGGAGCCTGCCTACCCTTCGCACATGCTCAACTCCTATTCCATTATTATCCCAAAGGTGGTTTTTTTTTTTTCAATTCCAGTCCACCATCCAGTCAGAGCTGAAGAAGCTTCTTGGATGAGAAGCGAAACGCCTTCAAAGAAAAACCAAGAAAGTCCAGTTGTCTCTTGAAAAAAAGCACCTTTGGGACAACCATGACCTGGATTAGGGGTCTCCAATGTTGGCAACTTTAAGCCTGGAGGACTTCAACTCCCAGAATTCCTCAGCCAGCTTTGGGACAACCATGACCTGGATTAGGGGTCTCCAATGTTGGCAACTTTAAGCCTGGAGGACTTCAACTCCCAGAATTCCCCAGCCAGCAAATCTGGCTGGGGAATTCTGGGAGTTGAAGTCCTCCAGGCTTAAAGCTGCCAACGTTGGAGATCCTGACCTGGATGACAGAATCTCCATAGACATCCTGTTCCATTATTTGATAGATGCCCCACTCTGAGTTCCAATATAGGACACCTGTTTTCTGTGAGGTTATGCCGGCCGGAGAACTCATTACAAATCATTGTCAAAAGCATTACAGGTAGTCCTCGACTTACAACAGTTCATTTATAATGACCGTTCGAAGTTCCAAAGAGTGACTTAGGACCGGTTTTTTTGCACTTAATGACCGTAGTAGCATTCCCTGTGGTCCTGCGTGATTTACATTTGGATGCTTGACAACTGATTCATATTTGTGATGGTTGCAGTGTCCCGGATTCATGCTCTTTGCGAACTTCTGATGAGCAAAGTCAATGGGGAAACTGGATTCACTGAACAGCCGTTACTAATTTAACAATTGCAGTGATTCACTTAACAAGTATGGCAGGAAAAGTCGTAAAATGGGACAGAACTCACTTAACAAATTCCTCCCTTAACAACATAAATTTGGGGCTCAATTGTTGTAAATTGAGGATTACCTGCACAGTAAATATTTTTTTAACTTTGAGGGAAAAGGACATGATCACAGCAGAATACAGGTTGACCTCTTTTTCTTTTGAGTTAAAAAGTTCCAGGATCAGGTGAGAAATCTCTGGGGTTCCTAACTGCAGAGATGCAGATATAAGTCTCCTTCACATCAGTGGTGAAATCCCAATTTTTTTACTACCGGTTCTGTGAGCGTGGCTTGGTGGGCATGGTGTGGCTTGGTGGGTGTGGCAGGGGAAGGATACTGCAAAATCCCCATTCCCTCCCCACTCTGGGGCCAGCCGGAGGTGGTATTTTCCGGTTCTCCAAACTACTCAAAATTTCCGCTACCAGTTCTCCAGAACCTGTCAGAACCTGCTGGATTTCACCCCTGCTTCACATACAGTTTAACTTCTGTTGACTTTGAAGGCACAACCATGTAGTTTTCTTGGCAATAGTCTGGAAGTGGCTCAATATTGCCACTTATCATGTTGTTTTTAATAAACTTGTCCTATCTGGCATTGTAACCTTGGTCTTTGCTGGTAGGATAAGCCTGGTTTGCATCTTACCTTCCAAGGCTACTCAAAGCCAACCACATGCTATTGAATCTAGAAGCTATGAGACCTCTGGAGGGAAAGGCTGAATGAACAGCTGCAGATAAATAGTTTATTTGTGTGTCAGAATATCTGAAAATGTCCAAAACGATTTGTGGGATGTCAGATGCTTTGTACTTGAATAGAAAGGTGAGGAATCTGTGGCTGGACTTTTCATATGTCCTCAAATACAACTCCTGATGGCCCCAGTTAAGCAGCCAAATGGAAGAATATCCAGAGTTATAATTCAGTATTATCTGGAGGCTCACAAATTCCCAATTCCTGTTTTAGAGGATGGGCTAAAGATGATAATTCAGAGGTGCCAGAAATCTTGTGAAAGAAGCTACCAATTTTTTATCTCTAGTTATTGCTATGAGGGAGACAGGTGGTTAAGAAGTGCGAAATATACATAAATCATGAATAATTGCTCCAATTGCTTAGCCATTTCTGGACTGAATCAGACAGTTTCTATGTGGAAAACTGATATCCCTCCTTTTAAAAGTACATTCCTCTCCACAAAGTGAAACTACTTTTCCAGGAAGCAATGGACTAATATTATTCCCTGGTAGAGAATAAAAATGCATACCCAACCTTCACTTATCTCTTCTTTTCTAACCCTGTAGTTGTAGTCTCATAGCATGTTTTGCTGGATACTAAATCCATTTAAGGGAGTTGTACAATATGTAAATAATAAATGAATGAAGTAATTTATTATTGAGTTTGCATATCAGCTCTCCCCTCCATCGATTTGAGCCGTGGTGGCTAAGTGGTTAGAATGCAGTATTGCAGGCTAACTCTGTCCATAACCAGGAGTTCGATCCTGACCGGCTCAAGGCTGACTCAGCCTTCCATCTTTCCAAGATTGGTAAATGAGGACCTATATTGTTGGGGACAATGTGCTGATGTTGTAAACTGCTCAGAGAATGCCGTAAAGCACTAACTCTGGGTCCCTGGACCAGCACCGATCCGTGGCATGCCAGAAACTGGTTCGTGCAAGTAAGCAAAGCCCCCTCCAAAGGAAGCAGGCAGCACGCGAAACCATGCCTCTTCCGGTTCATGGAAAAAACTCTCTGCAAGGAACTGGTGCCCAAATGATTGGGGGCCGCTGCTGTAAAGCACTGTGGAGAGGTATATAAGTCTTAAGTGCTACGTGATGTTGAAAAAACTAGGTGTTGTGACCCAGGCCCAAGTAGGTATTATCAGACGCAATGTCTGTTCGAAACAAACAGACTTTATTAGAAGAGCTGAGAATTAACTCATTCTCAGCGTAGTCCAAACTAATTCAAAACAAATTCTTCATAACACAATTCTTCAGCCTTATCACCAACCTTGGTCTAATTAGGCAACCCGCCAAAGGCTTTTCTTGGCAAAAGTTCAGAAGCAGAAGACGCCGACAAGAAATAAATGTAGCAAGACAAGAAACAAATCTATCAACGTTGTTTTTCGACAAAGAGCCCAAGAACCACTGCTGATCTTTTAAGCCTTATGGGAGGGGCCAATCATCTCTTGGCCTTGTTCCCGACTCGTCCCTTTTGCTTTAGCTGCTCTTGCCTTCTGGCAGCTCTTCTCATGCATGCACTAGGAACAGGCTTCTCTTGTTCCTCTGCCTCTCTGCCGTCAGCCTCTGGAGGCTCCAGAGTCTGCACATCACTCCCAGATGGCCCTGGCCTCATCTCTGCTTCCGACGCAGAGCCCTCGTCCGGGCCTTCCCCAGCCTCCAGGACTGGCCCATGTTCTTCCTCAGCCTCCTCACTGTACGACTCCGCTGCCAGCTCTGCAGGCTGCTGGTGGACCACAATACTAGGATTATCATATTGGTTTGTAACCGACCAGTTTAAGTAGTTTAATATAGCTACTGTGTGTGGGCCCAGGAGGTAATCAACATATCTATGAGCTCTGACTGAAATGTGTGTTAACATTACAGAAAGTGTATGAGCTGATTCACAACAGAGATAGACACAGGCAGGGTTTTTTGGACTCCTCACATAATGTTCTAAAAATATTGAATGCCACCCTTTTTATGCTAGAGCAGTAATAAGTTTGAAGGGACTTGGGTATTTGTCTTACGGGCTTGTTCACTTGTAAATCCTTAGTGGGTAAATATTATTACAATGATTAACTAGGTTCTTCAAGATAGCCATGGGTTACATATTATTGTATCCCAAGAATCTGGAATTCTTCCATCTCCGAAGAGCTTTGGATGTATCAAGTTTGTAAAAGTGGTAAAAATAGCGTTTATGTGCTTCTATATGCCCAGTGATAAAAGTTGCCTTACTAATAATAGTCAACTTTAAAATTGTGAATTTGGTCTTTATCCACTTTTTTTAATGGACTTTTTTTTAATGGACTCCTTAAAATGGACTTTTAATGGACTCTTCCATTCTTTTCTCTCTTTTTTTTTTGTCTTTTTTTGAGGGGTATAATATAGGATTTCCCCCCCCACACTTTTTGTCTCTTAGTATAGATTTTTATACAATGGGTTAGATTCACTTTGAAATATGCACAGTCTTTTAGGTGTATTGCAGGTAGATTATATATAATATTTAACATTAATAACTAATATTTTTAAACAAAGGCTAATTGCAATGCTTTTAAAGTGGAATTAAATGGACAGGG